TCTCTTGCAACACCTCTAATCGTCGGCACTTATATGACCTTATCGTGTTGCAAGTGCCGTAAAACACTTACTAAAACTAAAAAAGAAAATGCTGGCCTCATCTGGCTTAATAAGGAATTAAAAATAAAAACAAAAGCAACAAATAGAATCCCAACAACCCCCCCCCCCCCCATAAAAAACAACAAAAACAGCAACAACAACAAACAACCAAATAAAAAAAAACAAACCCAAAACCCCCAACAAAACAACAACAACAAAACAAACAAAACATGTCATATCCCAGTCTCTGGACCAAAGACTGACCACAGCAATACTGTATGTGCGAAGAGTCCGGTGATGATAACTTCAGTGAGTGGCAGGAAGCACAACAACTCAACTGGAGGCCAATTTCACGAGCCAGTGAGTATGTCACTGTTGAAGAGGACTTCAACTTACAATATGACCTTCGTGTTTATGGACGTGCTTTGATAATGCCGGCATTCTGTCTCCAGTCAAGAACAGCTTGATCGGACCAGTGGCCATTGAAAAACGCGGACAGGCGCACGGCTTGAGACATACGTTGTATCCAGGAAGTAGAAATAATGGCAAGATGAGACAAAATGTGTCCCGATGCGGTGGAATCAGGAGCTCCTCAATTTTTGGGCATGTGGAAATATTACTGAATAGAAGTTAAGTTATTTGCAATTGAAGGGAATGTGGGTCATCTGGTTTCAAAGGTAAAGTTAGCGAGAAAATGTCCTCCAAAGTGAGATGATTAGCCTAGCTTGAGAGTCCTTGGAAACTGCACATTAACATTCTGTGTGCCTCTAATAAACGTTTTCAGTAATATCTACACAGAAATGAGTTCTTAAATGGGCTTATAAGATGGGAGACAAAAACAAAAATTCGAAGAAAATTGCCACGCCGACGGGAAATGCTGGTTTCTTGAATTTCATTATTTTGACGAGCGAAACATTTCACCACAATGCCTCACGAATGTCTGTTAACAAAAAACAAATCAACAAGCTTCAGTTCCCTGGACATTGCATATTACTTTGGTGTATTAATGAAATAGAAAATTAAAGTAGTATCGGCAGAGTCGGTACTTTTATTTGTGTTATTTAGGTCAACGTTATGCTAGATACACTGCGGGTATAGGTCTATTCTAGGGAGTGGTCAAAAGCTGGTCTCCACGTTAGGCCATTGGGGTGATAGAAAAATAGTTAAATGTTCAAGGAAAGCCGATAAATATTTAGATGAAAATAAATTCCAACCCGCATACTCTCAATAAGTCTTGGCGCATGGCGTTACAGTAATCGAAGCCTAAACTGGTCTCCCCTGAGAGCAAAGACCCCGGAAGTGGGTGGTTGGTAGGTGCTCTGGTGTAGTTTGCTCCTTCTTTACTGTGAAACATTAATTTATCGTCCTTATCTGTTCTTTTTGAGTTTTGTTACTGTTTAGTAACAATTCACTCCTCGGCTCTTATTATGGCCTTATAGTGTTGCAGTACAGCTCCTACTAAAACTAAACTAAAAAGACATCTGGCGTTCAAATAAGTTCCGAAAAAGGGCTCAATTTTACTTTTACCAGAAATAATTTAGCTCCCCACTCGGTATCGAAGACTTAACTCCTGCGCCCGGCAAACCCAGATCATAACCTACCATCGGATCAGTACATCCATAACCATAATGTAATAACATCAATAGAAGCAGAATACAGTAATGTTGGATTCAGGATTATCCTAAATTCATGATGTTGATATTTTTCTCCGCGAGAATTAATCCCTAATAGAACACTCGTAGGTGCACAAACAAAAAGATCAAAGGGTCATTAACAGGGTGAGTGTGGAGATCCGGACCATAAAATTATTTCCGGGGCAGCTGTTATTGACGAGACGAGCTGTAAAATCTATAGGCATGCGAGCCAAAAATTCGGTAATCTAATGATATTTGATAGTGAGGCTACTAGACCCGCGACGACTTCCGTCCTTCACCAAGCTCCCTCCTGCTGGTGATGCGTATCTGACACGCGAACTAACAGTTCCCCACCACTTTGCAATGCACTGGTCACTCTGGGAGAAAGTATTGTAGAACATAATAATTAATATAGTACATCGTATACAGTACACCGCCCGCGATTTCGTGTGAATTTGGAAATAAGTATCATCAACCCTCTTCCTCCCCCCTCCCATTTTACTTTTGGTGTAGGTTTACAGTTACAGTTCTGTTCTGAGGGCACCGGCAGGGATACCCCCCCCCCCCCCCTTTGTTTAAATTATGGGGAGGGCTAGGGTTTGGGGGGAAAGGAGAGGGGGGATGAAAAAAATTGTGATGAACCCATATTCTGATTACCTCGAAAGTCGAGGACATCATCATCATCATCATCATCATCATCATCATCATCATCATCACCATCATCATCATCATCATCATCATCATCATCATCATCATCATCATCATCATCATCATCATCATTATCATCACCATCGACGGCAGTAAGAGGGGGAAAAAATTAAAAACTAAAAACAACCCGGCAGCACCAAGAAAAAACAGTATTATTGAAAAGTAAAATCAATCATTCTCCAAGAAATAAACGACAGAATAGTTGTAAAAACGAAGAGGTGAAACACACCGTCAAGATAGTATGTCAAGAGATTGTTGCACTGCACTATTCATTAGGAAAAAAGTGTCTGATTGACTTCCGTGATTAGTGGAATATAAAGTGTGTATTGATTTCGTGAGGGGTGGATAATAGTACGGATGGAGGGTGGATTAGTGGATTAAAAGACGTCTGGAAGAGTATATAGATGTATTGATGGATGGATGGATAAACGGAGTGTGGATTGTAAAAAAAGGGGTAAACGGATGAGTGGACAGAGAGACAGAAGGGGTGGAACAGTGTTAAGATGCTTAATCTCTTTAGAGGGAGTAGCCTGAAGAAAGAAAGTTTGAGGTTGGTGGGTGCTCTAATATGGTTTGCTCCTTCTTTCATGTCGTCCTTATCTCTCCTCCTTCTTTTTTGATTGATTGATTGATTGAGTAGGTGTTTTACGGCACTATCGACTCAATTCTGGTAATTTAAGTGCCACTTTTTTTGTATTTGTTACTCTCTTTGTAACCCTTTAAATCTTTGGCTCTAATATGACCTTATTGTGTTGCAAGTGCCGTAAAACTCTTACTAAAACTAAAAGAAGAAAGAAACTAAAGGATTGATGGGTATTGTTGTACTAAGAAACCATGGGCACGCCACTTGCAGAGTGGAAATACATGTAGATGTGGATGAAATTACCATTCTGATTTAATTAAACGGGTTAGCTGGTTTAAGGCATAGATTTTAAGCAGAGGTTTTACGGTGCTCGCAACTGCATAAGGTCATATGAGCGCCAATGAGTGAGTAAGACAGTCAGAGAGAGAGAGAGAGAGAGAGAGAGAGAGAGAGAGAGAGAGAGAGAGAGAGAGAGAGAGAGCGACAGACAGACAGACAGACAGACAGACAGACAGACAGACAGACAGACAGACAGACAGACAGACAGACAGACAGACAGACAGGCAGACAGACAGAAAGACAGACAGACAGAAAGACAGACAGACAGACAGACAGACAGACAGACAGACAGACAGACAGACAGACAGACAGACAGACAGACAGACAGACAGACAGACAGACACGAGGCTATCATATAGCGTTTTACAGTCAATATCTTTGAAAAATAATAATGAATACAAGAAGTCTTTTTAAAGACCTACGATTTAGTTTCAAATACTGTTGTTTCCCCTCAGCCACTATTTTCCCAAGAGATCACAAATGGACTACAAGAAGAACTCATGAGCTCTGCAGTATGGTGCTAGTATGGGAAGGGGTGGAATAAGTGATGAGGATACCATTCTTGATTTGTCCAGTTTAAAAGACTTTATACCATGTAAAAAAGGCATAATACCATGTTGGCATACCAGTGCAGATCTTTGACACATACGTGACAGGGCGGAACTTTGAAAAACCAGCATGTCTTTAAAATAATATACTTGAAACACAACATATGGCATCAATTATATGTTTGTTATAAGGCATATTAACCCAGGTCTTCAAATAATGTCTACCATAATTATTTATTAGAGAACTGCATTTCTTTTGAAAAGAAATGTTTTTATGGATGCCAGTTATTCATATGCACTTCATCAGATTCAAGATATATACTTTCAGTTTGATAAAATCATAAAAAGATAAGAACCAGAATATAAATAAATAAATAAAAAATAAATAAAGTAATTTTAAAAAATAAATAAACAAATAAGCAAATAAATAACAGAATCAATCAATGAACCAATAATTAATGAATGAAAAAAATACTTTAAAAAAATAATAAATAAATAAATAAATAAATAAATAAATAAATAAATAAATAAATGAATAAATAAATAAATAAATAATCTAGATCTAATTAATAATAAACAATTAAATAAATAAATTTAATAAATAAATAAATTTAATAAATAAATAAGCCACAAAAGGAAGTACATAAAAGTCAAAATTAATAACTGAGGTTATGTAGGCCTACAGAAAATTAAAGAAAAAGAACACATGATTTAAAAAATAACTCGATAAATGACATTTACCTTTAGAAAAAAAAGTTCATGCACATTATTAAATGACTGGTCAAAGCTGAACACCGATGAACAAGAATAAAATGATTATCGACCTTGGACAAAAGAAAGATACATGTAAGTAGTTAGATATATAGACAGATAGATAGACAGATAGATAGATAGATAGATAGATAGATAGATAGATAGATAGATAGATAGATAGAACCGAACCGCTGAGCAAAATACATTTTGATTATTTTACTGTTCAATGTACCAAATAATATGAGTTACGAAATCATGTGTGTCCTTTTATAAGTTCTTCCTCTTCTGTTTTTTTCAATGTAGATCATATTATGAAAAAAATATCTAAGCACATTAGAGTCAAAGTAAGTCCTTGGAAATTTCACAAATCTGGAAACAATAAATCATATTATTTACCTTCTTTGCCCTGGACTTCAAAATATAGATGAAAACCAGCTAGAGCGTACAAGGTACGATCTTTTTGTCGCCAACCAAAAGTATAGCTGAGTGGAGGTTTGTTCTTCGTGTCGAATATTTCTACCTTAGGCTGCAGAGAGTGTAAACTTCTGTGGAAGTCCCCGGCTTCGTAGATATGTTGCGTAACAGGACACTTTCTCCGCGTCAACTCACGATGTCTCCGTGTACTGTAGCGCTCCAGATCGCAATATTTTCCTGAAATAAACCACCGTCTGTTAAGTAGTTAAGTCAACTGTACATCGCTTTCTCTCATTATTAACCTTGTTCACTCCCCTAGCGGGAAAAAGAAACAAAACGCGGGTACAAGCATCATTTCTCCGGGGATCTCTACGTCTGTTTAACCCTCCCCGCCACCATCGGTCCACATCGGGACAGCAAGAAGCCACGCCCCCTTGTGTCTCATTGTCACTTCCCGCTTCTTTTGCCATCCCCGTCCCAGGCCCGCCTCAGATATCTTTCTGTCACCCGGTACTGTCAATCAACCGCTGTAGGGAGGGGCTTGATGCAGATCAGCGGTGCTCAAATATTGGTAGAGATCGTCCCGTCATGCAAGAGGTACTCGAGCTCGCGTCATCGATCCGCAAACAAGACCGCCCCTTCTCTTTGTACATTGTCGTAAGCTTTAAGAAGTGATAGCCTGCAACCTGGCAAGGAAGGGATGAGAAGCGGAGAAGTGGAAGTTGGGTCACCTAATGGTTTAGGAAGTGAAAGCGACAAGAGAGGGTCTGGACTGCGATGAGGCGAACGAGGTCGGTAGAACGGTGGAGACGAAGTTACTTATGGGGTCACAACGGTTAATGTGTTTGGAGTTGTTGGCCTACGAGGACCTCGGCATCCAAGCCACTGCCGAAAGCAAATCCGTTGTTATGCGTTCCAGTGATGTTGCAAAATCTTAGGAGTTGGGTCCCCCCATGGGAGGAACGTTACAAGCCAAGACAGCGATACTTCTTAAACGAAGGGCAGTGAAACGAAACCGTGACACTTTTAAAGTTGTCTACAGTGCAACAGACTGCAGGTTTATTACTAGATAAGAATGTTTTGGGATTAATAACGCTTTGTACAGATAAGTATTTTGGAAAGAACGTTTTCAAAACCATTCAAAAGACATTTTGTACTTCAATACGTCTTCATTTTCTGGTTGAAAAGAAAAGTGCGTAAGATGCCTTTTCATAACTACGCACACTGTGCAAGCCATTGTTAATAATACAAGTCTTAGTATTACACGGTTCTTTAACATTTTCCTTTAAAAAAAAAATCCAAGTTTCATCTATATTGGAGGGGGAAGAAAGGAAAG